TTGGCCTTCAACAGCATGCCCATCAACAGATACAATGACAGTTACAGCAGAAGATACATTAAAGATACTGAAATAAAAATGTAACAGTATTGTTTAAGATATTATCATCATAATAGAACCTAAAAATGGCCCGGCCTATAGTCCCAGCTGAAATACAAAGAGAGCAGCATGGGAATTGAACCGGGACCAGCGCACACACGTTTCAGCGCACATAGAGTGGCAACCACCAATTTAGCCAACTGAGCTAAGCTGCTGTAACAGGCCTAATAGATGAAATCTAATAAAGTATTATGACATAACTACCTGAACAATAGGGACCAAACAATGAAAAGCCTTGATACCATACCTGATTCACATACCTGCGGAATAAAAACAGTTAAATTCAGTTCAGTTACAGCAGAACAAATGCATTGAAACATAGTACTATCATCATAATAAACCTAATTAAATCTGAGATGTAAATATAAGAAAAAAGTCAAGCGTGTGTACACAGTACTTATTTGTCACTGTCAGCTACATCGGACAACTTTTTTATTTGGAAAAAGTTCTCCCCCACCCAAATCATGAAAATCTCCAGGTTCTATATTTTTTGAGGACTGATTTTAACGTTTATTTTCAACACATTCAGTAGCGTCGAGAAACAGGGGTGGGGTGTATAAGCTAACTGTCGGCAAAAAAAGAACCGAAGCCCAACAACGACGGGGCCTAAAGCATTAAAAATAAAAATAGAAAATATAACTAAAATATTATAATATATGCTTTCATGAGACAAAATTTAAAATGCACGCATGCAAGGATCGTCTATCATATTGTATAATCGCAGAAAAGTGATATAAATTCCCTGTAATTTCCCACAATAAACCCGTCACCATGTTACCCAGGTTCAGATTTAGATATATTGTATCAATGACATGATAAAATACATGAAATTGGATATAGGTGAATAACATTCATAAAAATGTAAGTACATAAAATCCTTTAAAATATTCTGTAACAACAAGATTGGTGTAAAAGAAATCACAGAGACTATTACATCCTAAATTAAAATTACATATACATAAAAAATAACAATATGTGGAAAATATATTGAACAATTTCCTTTAAGTAAAACCATGTATACGTAAACATGTGTGAAATAGTTTGGTGTCAAATATAATAAATAAACCCTTAAGCTTAATTGGTTAGTTTCTACTAAATTTACTGAATTAAATAGATGGTTTTTCAGGTTTTTTTCTTATCTCCTGTTCATTTTCTCAAGCATCTATAAATAAATAAATGCTTACTGCAGCGTGTAATACGTACCGTAGGCTTATTGTATTGTCTATTATATTTATATTTACGGTAGGCTTCCCCAGAGGGGCAATTGGCCATTTTAAAGATAGATGTTTGTCAAAATAATCAGGAAAATACTAAAATGATTAATTTTTTAAGGGTGAGTAGTAATTCAAAATTCATTTATTTTAGATTGAAAATTTTTGAAGGGGAATGGCAAATTTTTGGCGTATAAAGTATAAAAAATAATTTTCACTTCACACTTGATTTGTTTTTGATTTTTATGTTTTATTATCTTGCTAACCTTGTGGTCCATTGAATAATGGTTGAAACAGAAAAGTGGTTAAAAAAAGCAAACAGGAAGTGATACAATAGAAAAATAACACAAAAGTAAAAAGAAATCAAAACAGGAGAGGGGAAGAAAATTATAGACTGTCAAATTTGAATGAAGACACACTTAAAGATAATTCGGTAAAAGTAAATATTTTGTTTTATTTATTTCACAGATAGGTTATAATTTAAGTAATATTACCTTTGGTTGGTCATCTCTTTTTGCCATTCCTATTCATGTCAGTTGCCATTGTTTTAAATTTTTGAAATTCTATACTGTATTTATTTATTTTTTTTGGACGCACCTTCACAATTTTGAAGTGTACCACTGTTAAAAAAGTGTAATTTCTTAATAAATTGCTAACTTACTAACTAGTGATGCCAATATTTCACACAAACTTTGTTTCTATGTTGTTGAGGTTATTTTTTATATTATCTAAATATAGAATTATTGAACAAAACTAAACGGGCCTACAGGTTTTCTAAACTTCTTACTTACCCCTCTGACGATAACATAGTAGTGCGACACCGACGATTTTTCATTGTAGGTCAACGCAGGTTCTTAGCATTTAGCATTTGTGTTTGATCATGGAGAAAATACATTATTTCCTTGGTTTGATTAAGGTTGACCAGTTCTTCTGAGGGCGCAAAAGCGAATCAACAAACTTTTACCGAACCCACAGAGACACTTATTACGTGCCCCAAAACAAATATGGCGCCCCTAAATGGTCCGACATAAATTTCATTGAAGTCTTTCGATTCCTTGAAATATTTCTTTTCTAAAAATATTAGTTCCTTGCAATAAAATAATATATCGGTTTCTTGTAATAATTTTTCATTCCCTCTAAATCAACCTCTTATTTCTTCGTAGATTTGCATATTATTATAGGAAGGGTTGGTGAGGTGTCTGGAAATCTTCGCCTAAATAAACCTAGTTTTGTAGATGTCTGACCATCATTAAAAGTTTTATAAGCATTAAATTCATTACAGTAGACCTACTGATTATCGATTAACTTTTCCCCTGTTTTACTATCTATTTATTTGAATAATATATTAGCATTTCTCAGTGTATTCGGAAATATCATGTTTTGTATCAGTGATTGCTGGATACGTTTTTTTTTTTTTTTTTAATGTTTTTCTCGTACGTACGAAATACGTAGTAGATCCCTGACACCAGGAAGGAACTGGAACAATAAATTCAACAATCATTCATTTGTATAGCCACTTTTACACTAAGTTCGTCGCACCTTACCGATGAAACCAATAGGGTCTGTGATACTACTATTGCCCGTTAATTACTACCGTGTAGTTGATTTGTTTATTATTTAGGCCTATTTCGCATTTCCAGGACAGATTAACATTGTTAAAAAATTATGAAAAGTACAGTAGGCCTACGTACAAAGTGATGAAGGATCACTTGAATGCCTGGATAACGCGAGCCCAAGGATACTGGGTTAATATGCTTTAAAAAAAATCAGTTACATTTTATTACTATACTAAAATTAACGTAATTAAAATTTTGTTAAAGCTTTTAACAAAATGTTAACTCTTTTTAAAAATCAAAATAGATAAAAATACAACAAAAACATGAAATTTGTAGAACGCACGTCAATAAAGGAATTCCTTAATTTTCTTTTGAGCACTATATATCTCGGTCGCTAATTTGGTAGTAGGCATATTTATTTAACAGAATTTAAGATAGTATTATACATACTCGAAGTATCGAAATGCACGCCATCGTGTCGGGATTCAATATTTCGACATTAATTATGTCATCATTATCCATTCCTGATGATATTGAATAATAATTCGAGTATGTATTATACTATCTTATCTGAGATTTAATCAGTGGACCTTTCGGTTTTAACAGAATTTCGTTGCTGCATTCCTGTTTCACCTAGGATTGGGGGTGAGGGTTCAACGCAAGTAAAATGCATCGTCTATAATTTTACAGTTCTTTAAGTGACGGTAGAGTGAGTTCAAGAATGTCTTCATTCAGTGGTATGCCCTGGCATACCTATTTCGATTTTTAAATTAGAAGATTATAATAAATCAAATTTAACATTTATAAAATTGTACGGTAATATTTTTTTAACAATACCTTTTGGCTACAACCCCAGCTGGATCAGACAAATCAAGACTCTTCCGGGACACTAATAATCAAAAACAAATACTAAATACTGTACAAGTTTGAACAATAGATTTTTATTCAGGATAACAAATGTTGCTGTTGTTGCTGCTGCTGCTGTTGTTGTTGTTGTTATTATTAACTTATTTCAGCATTTTCGTAAGTTTTACTTTAATATGTAGGGTCTATTTGTTACATTATTTGTGCTATTAAGGTATTTCTTCAACTTCGAAGGCGACATAGAAGCTTACTTAATATTTCACGCTTGCAATCCTGTTTTCTTGGCATACCACAATACCTAAATTATTTTCTGGTAGAGTGTTATATAACCTGTTTATAACATTGGAGCATGTATTTTTTTTCTAGATTTTTAACGTTTAGATCCTATGTTTTTTAGGGTGTAGGGTAACGCTCACTGTGATCTACTGTATTTGACTACCGTTATATAAACGTCGAAGTTCCACATATGAGGTGCATCACATTCAAAACGACGGTTATCTAGCCACACAAAGTTTAAATAATAAACGGAAGTGCTGTTTAACAGTGTACCTGTGCTTTGTCGACTTCATCATATGCTTTTATAAGCATAGTGTCTTAATACTGTATTGTTGTAATACTATAGACCAAAATGCTATCGACACTCATGGTGCCATTTACCAACTTTTTAAATATATGAATCCAGTGAGTGACGTATCATATTGGATGTGATACGTGGACTTAAGCCCTGTCCAGACTAACAAATTCTGTAAGATATACAGTTTTTAGTTCATCTGATCTGTATTTTTTCAGTCATACGTATAACCCTGAGGAAGGACAAAATATTCGTCTTGAATAAATTTTATGTCTCTATTATGTCAACGTATGCAATCGTTTCTTTTTCGTATTTGCTTTTTATTATATATTTTTGTGAGACATACGTGGAACCAACTACATCGGACACTATTATGATAAATATAGGCTATATATATATATATATATATATATATATATAGGCTATATATATTTTAAAAGCATGTTGTCAGGATACACTTCAAACATTGAAGTGTACATTGACTTTTCTGCGTATCATTGTGTTTGCCAAACAATGAAGTACACTATATGCTGTTACAGTTAACTTATTTCCGTATGATTTCAATTGATGATTTTGAAAATGAAAAAGGAGAAAAATTACAAAGAAAATTTTACAGTGAGGCTGCAAGACCAATGCCAGGCGTTATTATCACCAACAATTTCCAGTGGGGGTGTCCTCGAAACCAGAAATATTTTTTGTACAAATATAAAGAGAATATAAAGAAAATTCATAGTAATAATCAATAAACTCAGCCAGAGTGATAAGAAAAGATATAAATATATTTTTGATTCGAAGTTTTGTTCCAGTTTCACTTTTAAACAATTTTAAAATTATAAAACAGAGATGAACACATGAAACAGAGTAGGAATTAAAGTTTTTTGTTATGGTCCACACTCTTTATAACATGCAAATGAATCTTTGTGTTCAGAGCAATAATATAAATATTAAAATTGTTGTAGATGTCTAGTCGCCAATATTAGTCCTTGATTTATGATGTAAAAGGCACTGGCGATCAGTGTGCCTAGTATTGATGCCCACAAATACATTAAAATAAAAAATAACAAGAAATTTATCCATTCTTGATAATGGTGAAAAAGACAATGAGCTTAATTTCTCCTCAAAACTAACCTGGCCCCGATGTTGCTTTTCTAATATTCTATGCACCCCTTAAAGCTGATCAGAGTTTGTTTATTTATTAATTGCAATTATTTCGTACTTAAAATACAGTTTAACATTGATAAAAATATAAGTTTATAAATATAATAAGAAAGGAGGGATAATTTGAATGCCTTGATGACGGCAGCCTAGGAAGAGTGGGCTAATGTTATAAAAGGTCATTTATATTTTATTACCAAAATTAACCTAATTTAAATTTCCAAAACATGAACTCTTTTAAAAAAAATAAAAATATTAAAAATATACAATAAAAATATTAAATCTCTACGGACGGTTTTTTTCTTCTTTTTTAACACTAGCTCGGTTGGCAAATGTGGTGGTATCCGATAGGATAATGGTTATTGCCGATTTCGTTGCTGTTTTCTTGTTTAATGATGGGGGGGGGGCAGGGGTGGGGGGGGGGGAGGAGGATCAAATGCAAGTAAAAAGGCATCGTCTTTAATTTTACAGTTCTTTAATTAAGTGAGGGCGACTGAGTTCAAAAATGTTTTCTTCATCCAGTAGTATGACCTAGGCATAGGCCTACCTTGCTCGTTTTTTTAAAAATTAGAATAATTGACTCAGAAATAATAAAATTAAACATTAATGAAATAGTACGGTAATATTTTATTTAACAGTAACTTTTTGCCATAATCCTTTACAAAAATACTAAATATGATTATTCAGGATAACACAGTGTATTATATACCAAGTATTTGTTACCGTACCCTATCAGTGTTATTGAGGTGTTTATTAAGATTCGAATCGACAAGCTTACTCCATATTTCATGCTTGAAATCCTGTATACTTGGCTTACCACTATAGCCTAAATGATCTTCTTAGTATAGTATTATATAACCTGCTGTTTATAACATTGGAGCATGTATTTTTGTTTTTGTAGATTTTTAACTGTGTAGGCCCCTATGTTTTTTAGGGAGTGGGGTTATCTTCAATGTGATCTACTGTATTTAGTTACTGCTATATAAATGTCGAAGTTCGATATATGAGTATGTCTAGTGACACAAAGTTAAAATCATAAATGGAAGATTATTGTTAAAAAGTATATTAAAGCGCTTTCTAACTTTACCTGTGCTCTGTCAACTTTATCATATGCTATCTTTTCTAAGCATAGTGTTTAATACCGTATTGTTGTAATACTATAGACTAACATGCTATCGACACTCATGGTGCCATTTACCAACTTTTTAAATATATGAATCCAGTGAGTTACGTATCATATTGGATGTGATACGTGGACTTAAGCCCTGTCCAGACTAACAAATTCTATTTTATAAAACATATGTGATATGCCTAAATATGGTCTGATGACATCACATCATGACCATATAGGCACAGCATGACTATAATATGGACATGCTACATTTAAAAAAAAAATTGATAACCTGGACAGAGCTAAACAATTCTTGGAGAGGTTCGTGGTTGTACGATCATCATTGATTAAATTCGATGGATTATCATGATCCTTGTCACAAGTAACAAGCATTCACTCAAATCAGCTACTGTTATCTTTACTTTCTTATCTCTTTCCTGGCTTCAAATTTACATAAGCTGTTTCTTCTTCTCTACGTTGTAGATCTTGATAAGTCTGGTTCTCTCTGCCAGCAGTTGGCCTATCTGCCACGTAGTCCATGTAAGTCTGTGTCGAGATATGAAAGGCAATCAATGCAAATTTAAGTCAATAAAGATTGAGACAAATATCTATTTGCATTAATCTATTAACACCCTGAATAAAACAATACATTTTATAAGTTTCAATACATTTTAATAATCGGTTGAATTCAAGTTCAAGTTATTTTTACTGTGTATAAAACGTCTACAATACAGTATACCAACCGGCGCGATAGCATTTTACTGATTGCGGGAAAAGGGACTAGTTAAAACACCTACAGTCTGGGGTAGATCATAGAAACCTGACTACATAATATCCACCTGAATCATTTGACAGCATAATATTCCTAGTTACAGATACTACTGTATTGCCTTGTGCATGTGGCACGAAGAGGAAAAGTGACAAAGATGAGGTGAAGTAGTATAATAAAAACTTACATCTTGCATTCTCTTGTCCGTACTTCCCTTGTCTATTTGTGCCCTCTGAATTGAAATATAAATAACCATTTATACAAATTTACAGTCACATTTCTTTCTGTCATTGTATTTTTTTTCCCTGCCTTTAGTATTGTTTATGTTGCCAACACATATTATTATTTGTTTGTTTTATTAAACTTCTCACTTAACAGCGGAAAGCCTGATACTTACATAATGAAATTTAAAACTACCTTAAACACAATGAAAACCAAGAAAACTAAACAACAGAAGTTTGCTTTGTACTTTTGAAAGACCAATTGTTATTTTCTTAAATATTAAGTCCAAGTGGGGTTTTTTAAAAATTCATTTTTATTCAAGAGTCACTTTCAGCCATTACACTGAATTTGCATGACACATTTGTACAATAAATTTAATATGTAAAAAAGAATTTTTATGCAGTTGTATGTTTTTTTTTTAATATTTTGACTATTTTTTATCATATTGTTTTTTTTTTATGGCGACCCTGTTTTTGGTGTTTGGCACACAGTTGGGTCATGAATAAAAATGAAAAATAAAAAATATACAAACTTGCTTATTTTATTCAGGACTATTTGGCAGAACAGAAATGGGAGGAACAGTGTTTTTGCATCTAACCAACCTGTTTAATTTTTGTGTAGCTAATCAATCCACCAATTACTCCGAAGGCCCCAACAATCATGCCCACAAAGAATATACCAATTGTCAAACTTGTGCAATTAGAAGAGGCTGGAAGGAAAGAAAATATAACAATTTGTCATACAACTTCAATCATAATTTTGCGGTTTGGAGCAGCGATTGTGTTTCTTCTCAACCTTTAAGGTTGGAGGTTCTTGTTGCGAATTTCGCCTGTGTCCTTCTTAGACCTTGCACTACGCTTGTCTCTCCACCCAGGAGTGAAAGTAAGTGTATGTTCAAACACAAAATAAGCTGATTACAGCTCTGTGTACGTGTTTATGTGCCCATGATGAGGAGGATAATGATATGCATGATGATAAGGATGATTAGTGATGATGGATGATGACGATGAACCTTACTTGTTCCTGTTTTGTCTTCTCAGTGTTGTTTTTACTGTTTTCTTTTCAATGTTAAATGAAGGAAATAGATACCTGTTCTGTTAAGCGACGTATATTGAATTGCAGTTACATTCCCGTGCCATTGTAAGTCGTGACGACAAAACATTCTAATAAGATTTATGTTGCGTAACTAGTAACATTTGATTTTTACATGTGATGAAATGTACCTAGGTAAACCAACATTTCCTTTATTGCCTTACTGTTTTAGGAATTTTGAACAGTCAGTTGTTCAGGATATCGGCACTATAGTTAAAGCCCCATTCCCGGCAAAATTTCACTAAAAATTGACTTTTTTTTTAATAGAAAATATGCATTTGCATTACTTCAATTATTATAAATCATGGAAAAATATTGGCATGAATTTTAGTTTTACGCAAAAGAATAAAAAAAAAAGGAATACAGACTATTTCTCATAAAATATTACCATTTTCTCGACGAATTCATCGTTACCAGGCAAATTCAGAGGTTGTAGATCGCATCCACTGGAATACTCTCGCTTTTATGTATACTTAATACAGTCAATAAAGTGCGCCCTCTCTAGTGAGATTAGTTTTTGTACTTCGCATCTCGCACAATGCGTTCGTTCGGTTAGGTTGAGATATGTTTGTTTAATAGTGTCAAAATCTCAGTCAGAATCAGTTTTTTAACAAATTTGAAATAATTCTTGTGAAATATTATATTCACAAGTGTCAATACTAGCAACGGAAAATATCATGTCGGCCGTTTTTATGTGTGATAACAGCCGCTGTTGCCCATAGAAGATGGGGGAGCCAACTCGATGTCCCGCTGGTGCGAAGTGTGGTCCATCGGATTCCAGCAGCAACCGCCTGTCATCCATGGCTTCGATGTGCCTGCATGCCTGGCGTTGTTGGTTGTTGAACCCACTCACGGCCAACGAAAAGCTGAAAAGCGTGGCAGGAAAATGATGACGGAAGGCATCGGCAATGGCAACGGTGGAGGTGTAGTTGTGCAGCAGCACGCGTTGCTCCCGAGGGACGCGGGACAGCCGTAAAATATCCAAAGCCCGAGAGTAATACTCCTCTGCCGTGGGATCACCGGCCATACCACGTAGGTGCAAACACACTACCCGGTGCTGGTGATGGGCATAGCACCGGTTCAATACTCTTCGGAAGAGGTTTTCCTGGCGATACCAATCCGAGGGGGGCCGGGTATGATCAAGGCCAATTTCCCCTAGGATCCTCACCTCCCTCATTCTTGATAGGGAGTAAAGCCGATCAAATTGGTCAGATGTCAAGTCATTTTTCGGATGAATACCTACGGCAACTTCCAGGTGTAGATCTCTAGTGATGAAATACCTGTCTCTTATACACATCTAGATGTGTATAAGAGACAGTTACAGCTCTGTGTACGTGTTTATGTGCCCATGATGAGGAGGATAATGATATGCATGATGATAAGGATGATTAGTGATGATGGATGATGACGATGAACCTTACATGTTCCTGTTTTGTCTTCTCAGTGTTGTTTTTACTGTTTTCTTTTCAATGTTAAATGAAGGAAATAGATACCTGTTTTGTTAAGTGCTGTATATTGAATTGCAGTTACATTCCCGTGCCATTATAAGTCGTGACGACAAAACATTCTAATAAGATTTATGTTACGTAACTAGTAACATTTGATTTTTACATGTGATGAACATTTCCTTAATTGCCTTACTGTTTCAGGAATTTTGAACAGTCAGTTGTTCAGGATATCGGCACTATAGTTAAATATCATACATTATATTTCAGTTTCTCTCTATCAATGTGATGACATACTCAAAAAAATTAAAAAATCTTAACATAATGAAGCTTTTATTCGATATGTTCAAACACAGTAGCTTAATTTTGTGTCATTTACAATACTTACTAGAAACATCACTTTCACAATATCTTCCACTGTATCCTTGTTTACATTCACATGTAAACTCAAAATTAGCAGGTATACAGGTCCCTTCATTTTCACACGGACTGGAAACACAGTAGTCAATACCTAAAAAAATAAAAGTACATTGCATTAAATACTTAAGTGATGATTATAAGTTATTCTATGGATCAATCACCATTCTAGTTTTTTTCTTTAGCACCGCTTCAATTTATTCAAAAATATTACCTTTTCAAAAATGAAAATTAAATTATGGTTTAAATAGGAAAAGCGGTATCAGCGGTAGGAGGAGGAGAATGGGGTGATGAGGAGGAGGTCAAAGAGGAGGGTTGAGAAATTGTGAATAGTATACAATAGACGAGGTTTGCATGATTTAATTGTTTTAACAAACTTAAAAACAAACCAATTTGAATATGATGACAAACTGCATTGAAAAACGTATTTTTTATAATGACCAACATATTTTATAGTTACAGGATTTATGATAGGCAAAGAGTAATTTTAATAAGTTTAATAATAATAATAATAATAATAAAAATAATAATAATAATATAATAATGATAATAATAACAACTAGACTTACTATGTCTGTTTGAACAAATAAATCAAATCAAAATATCTTTATTGGCAACCACAGAACCAGAGAGAAAAGAATAAGAAAACCACACTTAAAAAAAAACCAACGAAAACCAAAATCACTGCGACGCACCTAAGTTGTATTTTGAGCACCGTTATTGCACTTAAAATTAAAATTTATTTAATTATTTTAATTTATCTCGCGCCTGCTGAAAATGGCAGCGTCGCCACCAAATCATCCCAGTTTAGCTGAGTATCAGCTGCAAAGGGATTATCAAAACTAAAGACTAAAGACATTATTAGTGATACTTGAACTATGGCTGCAATGGTAATAGCGAGGTACAACATGACCCATAACCATTGCGCGCTATATGGGCTGACCTTGAATAGGACAGTGCATTTTCGGTTCATAGCGATTCAGTGACTGAATGCAAAAATTGTTCATGCAATATCACGGTAGTTTTGAGTTTAACCTAGCTGTAACTGGTTTAACCGCTATATAAAACACAAATTGCGTTTAAATAATTTAATCAACTGTCAACAAAAAATCTTTAAATAGTCCTCATATCCACACCCTACTGTGGATCATCACCAAAATTGGATCATTTCTTCATTTCACCATGAAAAACTATTCTGCAAAGTGTCGTTTTTATCCATCTATAACTGGGACGTAAGCAATTTACACCTTAACCTGGATTGTCCCCTAGACATAAACTTCCCCAAAAGTTTTTTTTTTTTTTTTAAATATCTGGTCTGGGACGTTTTCATTTAAATGGTCCTCATATTCACACCCTACGCCGGATCATCACAAAAATTCAGTCATTTCTTTACTGGACCTTTACAAACTATTATAGAAGGTTACATTTTACACCCATTTAAGACTTTATAGATATTTACGTCTGGGATCTCAAAAATTTAAATGACCCTCCAATGTACACCCTTGACTGATTTGTCGCCAACACATAATACTACCTTCCTTGTAACTTGGTTAAATTTTTCCAAATGTTTCATTCAGATCAGTTGATCCGTTTTCGAAATACTGTATGTGGTCTGGGACGCGAGTCCTTTAACTGGTCCTCAGATTCACACCATACTGCAGATCGTCACAAAAACCTTGACCGAAAAAAATGACAGTTTATCCTTGGCTGGGATCTGTCTAATAGATTTGTTTGTGCCGGATGTAATAAAAATAAATAAATAAATAAGTAAATAAATAATTTGCCTATTTGATAATGATTAAAGTGTTGATATGAATACAAACATGAATTTATTTATTTATTTATTTGTGACACTTCACCTTTGTATCGGTGGCACTCACAATCAGTGGTGCGGTCTTACAAAATATACAATAGAAAAAGGAGAGGATAATCAAAACACTAACAGGCAAAACTTAACTAAACCGAACTTAAAACTTAATATTAATATAAAATACTAAAAATTCATAAAGAAATGCACCAAAGCTCCAACGGAACAGTTTGAACAAAATAAGCAAAATGAAATCAAGAAAAAGTACTTCATACAAAGGAATAAATCTTAAGCCTACCCAAGTACACACACAAAAAAAACACATGAATGATGGTATCAGTAGGAATGATTTGTTTGTAAAGTGATATTTATAAATTCAAACTGATTGAATATTGTTGTGTTAATAGAAAAATTTTAGTTTTAAAATACTGTATTTTAAATGTATTAACAGATGTTCTACTTGTATAAACTTTATAGACTTGTATTTTCTAAAGTTGCGAGAGAATGTAGTGTAGTACGCCCTCTAGAGGAGATCAAGAGAGGGAAATTGTTGTCAAGCATTACTACATGGCTTTCGGGACCAGATTGTCAAAAAGCAAAGGTACCAGCAAATATTAAAATCACACTTTATTTCATTTATATTAAATCTAAAAAAAAATTGAAGAGTTTACCCTTGGCTTGTTGTGTTGTTGATCCAATGTTATTAGTAACTTCTACTCTTACTGTATACTCTGTGCTGTCTTTAGTTGATTCTGATGCCATTATTGTGATTGTTGAAGAGAAAGGGTCTGTAACATCGTCATGGGGGATTATGGTAGCATAATTCTCGGGATCAATGGTCCATTTATAAGTAATGTCATTAGGATTAGCAGAAACTTTCGCTGTAATAGTATTACTCCCACCAGGAGCAATAGTGACTACTTCTTTATCTAAGGTCACTTCAGGTTTAACTAGAAAAAAAAAAACCATTTAATAAGAATTTATTTATTTATTCAAATTTTTTTCAATAAAACCTTAAATTAAACCTGCCGATGTTGTTAACAAGATTTTGTTGGACTTGTTTGTCGTATAGATAAAATTAATTTTGTTTTTAAATGAGATGCAGTGTTAGTAATGTTAATCTCATAAAACACAGAAACATCATAAAAGAATTAACATTTCTGTCATTATCTGAAAACAAATGTCCAGTAAAATAGTTCCTTTAAGAATAAGAATGTGTATGACAATCAGTGGCGGCTCTAGGATATATTTTCTGGGGGGCTGTCGAACGGGGGGTACTTGGGCTCGTAAGCCTGAGCTGGAGGAAAGGTTTGAGAGAGTGTTCCCTCTTCCAAATGAGATTTTTTTAAAAGAATTGGAACCTCTGGGTGGCCAGATATGACACTCTCTGATTGTGACATGTGTTGGCTTGGCGTGGGCCTATTTTTATATATTTTTTAATTCGACTGCCTGACGAGCCCTGTCAGATGGGGGGCTTGACCTGTCTGCATATGGAAACGTTGTATCATTTGCTCTCCACGGTCGCCTTAACCATTGGAGAAAACTGGATTTTTTTCAAAAAAGTACATTTTTGGTACAAAATCTATGATTTTCTTGTAATGGCCCAAGCGGATTATGTTGTAAAAAATATTAATCTACCAATTCGTGAAGAAAAAATGAAAAAAATCCCTACAGTTTTGTCGGAATACGCCGATTTATAACAGCTCCTTTATAAATCGATTTAGATAGGGAATTTTAAGAAATTTGAGGTTTTTGGCTGTTCCGAGCTCGTTTCTTACTCCCTCACTCACAGACTATTTCTTTGTTCGAATTGGCCCAAGTGGATTCGTGGAGGGAATATAATAAGCTTGAAGCTGATATAAAACTTAGTATGATTGGTTGGGTAGTTTTATCGGAAAATAAGAAAATATAAAATCCATCCAATCCACGATTGCCTCTCATGGGGTCAAAAAATCTCTCAAGCGTGATAGTACCATTAACTGGTATGACGTCATACTTCTGTTTGCTTGACTTGTGTTCGCAGTGTTCATGTAATTTGGCCTAATTTAGTTATCAGTTGGATTTTTTGTGTGCTTTTATTACCAACATTAAAAAACAAATATCCCAAAACAAAATACTTGCAGCAATTAGGCTATATTTCTGCAAAAAAAAATGCAATTTATAGTATGGACCGTTTGAATATTTCCGCAGGGGTGTAGCGTAGGGCTAAGCTAATCCCGCCAACATGAAAGCTTGGACTAGGGGAAGAGAGATCTCAACATTTGTTCACTTTACATTGTACTATGTGTACTGTTGAATATGTGTTCAAATACAAGTTTTAACAAAAAGAATATTGACTGTGCAAATTGAATTTTGTTAGTATTTTAACCCCATAATGAAAATAAAACAAACCCAATGTTTTTAATTGGTCGATCCAAACTACTTGTACAGTGGGGTTGATTTGACCTCAGTTCGCTGCTTTCGTGGTAGCTGGACTAGCAAATAAAAAGTGGCAAAAACGTTTCCATATGTGGGGGGGCTTAAGCCCCTGCTACCCCCTGCTGGCGCCGCCACTGATGACAATCTATGGATATCTGGAGTTTTTGTTAATTTCTTTGCTAATTCAAAAGAATACAAATTATTATGAAACCATGAATATATTTTGGAAGAAATTCATGTGGTTATCTTATACAGTAGTCAATAGCTATGTTTTAAATAATAATATATTGCAATACTTACAGTAATTGAGTACTATTGTTCCACTATATTTATTACCAACATTGTTAGTTGCTTTACATTTGTAACTTCCTCCATCACTCTTTGTTACATTATCTATCTTATATGTTAGAAATGAATCATTTTCTGTCTTAATATCAACATCATCCTTATTGAGATTAATCATGGGAGATGGACTGCCATTTGCAGAACATGTGATTGTGACATTTTCAGCAGTAGTATTAGAATTAATATCAATCATGACATCATATAAATCTGGAAGAAAAAAGAAACAATTAGAGATTGGTAACAACTAAATTTAAAAAATCTATAGCCTCCCAATAGTAAAAAAAATATACCATGAACTGAGAAAGGTAAACATGTGCCAACTTATTAAGTTACAAAAATAGTCACAATCTAAATTCTTGTTTTAAATGGTACCTTTTTGTACACAGGTAAGCTGCAATAGACAGTATACTAATACAACATGGTTTGAGGTGAGGTAGTGAAGTTTACTTCCCAAGTGGTTGGATGATATGAATTACCCAATCAATGAAGAGGAAAGTAGCATTCGCTGCTTTAGCAAAATAATAAGAACAATAACCAATTATTCTAAATATTTTTGAAAGTACAAACCCATCATGAGGCTGTTGGAATTTAATAAAGCAAATTCATGGTTTTTATGCCAAGAATAAAATATAAAAACAATAAAAATGCATTACTGTGATTTTGTTTTGTTTGGAATACCAGGGAGCAATTATATTATGATTGCTCCCTGGGAATAGCCATTGACAACTGATTCGCGTCTAATAAAAAATGCTACCTTGAATCTAAAAAAAATAAATATTTGTATTTGTTTTACCATTACTGTATTATTCTTTATATATGTTTACCAACGGTAGGCCTATGAATTCTTACCGATTTATGGGATGTAGGCTACGTCTGTAACTAACTGTGAGCTTCTTGTATGTTTGTTAGTACCCCCTTCTATAGGGTGTACTGTAGTACCAGTAGTAGATAGGTACATTCCTAAAGGCTAGAGCAAAAGAGGCTAAACTATTGGGCCTAGTAACAAGCTGAGTTAGGTCCTACCTGCTACCGCCCCCCCCCCCACTAGGCCCCTAGGTTCCTAGGCCTGACACAACAGTCACACTTCGCATGCCATTGACTGAAATTTTGAAAAAAATTTAAAACATAAAATTAAAATGGGACAATGAGTAAAAAAAAAATAGTATTAAATAATAATAAACATGAGGAAACTTCCCCATAAAATACCATAATTTTCAATTTTTGAACCAGGTTTTGCCAATCTCTTCTTATCTCTATTAATTACTGCTTCAGGGAATTTTGTAACAAGATAATCCTTTTGCTGTGTTCCCCCAGTACTACTGGGGGCATGAAAATAATTATTTTTTAAATTGTTCCTGTGCAGGCGCCTTCTATAGTTGTTTCTGTGAACTGGAATTGATTTCTACTGTATGGGCTTTTTTGGGCTCAATTACATCATTCTGTAATACCGAGAATGATGTCTTCCAATATCTTAAAGAGATAATTGAGAATAATCTTAAAGTAATCGATAGTTCTCTTGTTAGGTCTGAATTCGAAGTCAAAATTTATTCCCATTACCTGTTACCTAGTCTAAGATTTCATCTGACTGTTAACGACATTCGTAAAACTCAGCTTGATAAACTTGATTCCCTCAGTAGCAAGTATGTAAAAAATGGGTTGGTTTACCTAAACCTGGTACATTATCGTTTATCCATATGCCGTTAGGGCTTGACATTCCCAGAATTTCCGACTTATATATCGAGAGTCATACACTTGCCCATGTGTCTTCTCGATTTATGGGGGGTCCCCAGGTTAATCATTCTATTGACTGTAGACTCAAGAGGGAATGTAACTGGAAGAATAAAATTTCGCTAACCAGTAGGTCCAAAAATCTCTTCCTTGAGGCAAAAAACTCAGAGCCCAGTCCTTCTCTCCCCCGTACTAAACAATTGTTAAGAACAAACTTAAATCTGATATCCAAGAATATTGGAACCGCCATGTGAAGGAGCTTCTGGTTCAGGGAAGATTTTATGACTTGCTTTCTCTTGAAGAAAGTTGTCATCACTGGAAGAGCTTCATATACAACCTGCCCAGAGGAGTTATGAAATTCCTTACTAATGATCTGGGGGATACGCTAAATAATAGGGTTAACTTGCACAGATGGGGAAAAAATATTTCAGAAAAGTGTATGGGCTGCAATAACAGAGAGACTCTCTGTCATATTCTAAATATTTGCTCGCGTTCCCTGGACCAGGGGCGCTTCACATGGCGACATAACAATGTTCTTAATTATATTTACAAGAATTTAAAAGAAGGATTCAAAACTGTTAAATCTCCTCCTGTTATTCTTTGCGACCTCGTAGCCAGCGCCTCTGCTAATCTTCACTGCTCTACAATCCCAACTGAATGCATCCCAACAAATCTCATTCCCGATATCTGCCTTTATTGGCCCGACTTAAGAAAACTTACCATCATGGAACTTACTATTCCATTTGATACTTCAATTGATGCTGCTATAAAAGAAAGTTGAACAAGTATTCTCCTCTAGTTACGGACCTCTCAGACGCTGGCTATAATGTCGAATTGATCGTTTTTGAGGTTGGTTCCGGGGGGTTCATTTCCTCTACAAATCTTCATCGTTTTAAATCTGTTCACGCCCTTTGTGGCAAGCCAGTACCATTCAAAGTGTTTCGTGATAACCTTTCAAAATTAGCAATAATATCCTCCTTTTCCATATTCCATGCAAAAGATGAACCCTCGTGGAGCAATCCTCCCTTTCTTACAACTTAGTAATTCGTAATTTTCTCCTAGTCTTTCACTTCATTTGGCCGTCAAGAATTGTACAATGCTCTCGAAACTCTTGTTTTTCTTGTTGTCCTGTTTTTTTTTTTGTGTGTGTGTGTTTCTACTCCCATGTCATCTTATTTTAAGGATGTAACCTAGAGAGTTTTATTCATTCATTTATTCTTCCTTTTATTCAATATTTTTTTTATATTTTTATATGTATCTGAAATTTTATTGAATAAAAGTGATTTGAATTATGAAGTAATGACTAAAGCTGGTTTTCCACTAGGCGAACTTATTCGCGTGAATCAATGCATCGGTTCGCTTCCTGAGCTCTGATTGGTTGCGCATTTTTTCGCTTCGCAAAAACCTCGATAGGAATGTAAATGCGCATGAACCGACGCTTGCGATTCGAGCAAATAAATTTGCCTAGTGGAAAACCGGCTTAATTGTTGCGAAAAACTCATCTTACAGCGATTTTTTGGAATTTTTTTTTCACGATTCTGCCGACAAACATGGATTTTTGTCTGTTTTAGAATAGAATGATGAAAATAATTCAAATTGATTTTTTTTTTATTCATTTTATGTATCTTCACCATTATCCAATGAAAAAAAAAACAGCAGCCCATAAGAATATCTATCTTTTTTTACAGATTTATGAAAATGGGGATTTTCAATATGGCCACCCCAAGTTCACAATGCCACCTAATTAAAAAGTCCAATTTCAATTTTTTCCCATAGGCCAACCTTTTTCCCACCCCAACACACAAGAACAATTTCAATATAACCTCTTTTAGTCTTTTTTTGGCATTTATTTAAAAATAACCTTCTTCCTAAAAAGGCCCAGTAGTGAAAGGGTTAACAGTGAAACTAATTGGCTGTGAATAGTTTATAGAAAGACTGGCACAAATAAATCAAAAACTATGTTGTAAAGTCTAACATATTAAGTCAATGATTTTTAAAATTCAAAAGCATATATATTATGATTTTTATCTTAAATTACAACTAAGGTAACGAAAATGCCTAATATTTTATGAACAACAGGTTTTTAAAGTTGTCCATCCTGTTTTTAGCCCACTCTCTGAGAGAGAGAGGGCTTATATGATGATTCTGAGCGAATTTTGAAGTCATTTGTTTTTCTATCTCTTCCTTCGTTTGTGACGCAATTAGTCCGATCTTGCAATAATATGGAAGATAAGGCCTGGGTAATTTAAAGTATGAAGAGTTTTTGCGAAAATATTTTTGGGAAATATGTGAAAAAGTATGTTTTTATATCATACCTCTTAACACTAAGGTGGGTTTCCTATGAAAGCGTGTTCATCATTGATCAGATTACAAATCGGCTGTATATTCCACATTGTGTTTATCAACCAATCACGGCCTGGAGTGGTAACCTTTCGGCTAATAAATACGTCTGCACGAGTCTAGTTGGTAGCGAGGAATGAGCCGTTTTTTGGTACTTGCAAGGGTGGGTGGTTTCTCCTCTGAGAAATAAACAATGTACTGTACTGTAATGCAGGCTGGCCTAGAGCTAGAGGAAGACGAGCTATAGGCTGGCTGGGTAGTACGTGTGTGTAATTTTTTAATTTAATTTTAATTTTTATTTCGAAGATCATCCAACAGCGGAAGCCAATTACAGGATGTCTTATAATACATATAAATATATAGAAAAATACAAACAATAGATCAGATAACAGGAAATGTAGGCTACAAGTTGCTTTTATGTGTATTAAACCACATAATATTCAAATTAGTTAGTAGCGATGAGTGTTGTGTGCAGCACATTTCGTGTCAATGTACTGTAATGCAGGCTGGCCTGACAAAGACGAATAGGCTGGCTGGGTACGTACGTGTGTGTAGGCCTGGCCTAGTCTAGATCAGATACTACTCAGATAAATGTAGGCTACAAGTTGCTTTTATGTGTATTAAACCACACATTCAAATCAGTCAGTAGCGATGAGTGTATGTACAGCACATTTCGTGTTGCCGCACTGTGGTGTGGTTGATGACGAGGATGTTGCCGTTAGATACATGATACTATAGCAAGGTCCCACAAGGAATTTTTGTTCTATTGAGACGGTAGCTTTTCAGCATTGCTCTAGGATGATTTTCCTTTACATATGAATTTGTTAGCATTTCGTACTCTACACTTGGCTATCCGTAGCCAACCACATAGGCCTAGGTACGTAACATATTAGATTAGATATTAATTACATAAAATGTAGGCCAACAGTCGTAAATTTAATGGGGGCGGAGTGGATTTCTTTTTTCGCGATTTACCATGGGATGGCTACTGTCATCGTTACCTAGACTTGTAGATGCCGTTTTCCATATGGTAATGATGAAGATCGTTCGTGTACCTATTGACTGATGAGGCATGATTAAAAAAATGGATTACATTCCATTCCAACCATGGTATAACCAGTCGATGGATAGCCCAGTAATGAGATATTTTGTTTAGATTTCACAGCATGTTCCATGTACCCTCCTCCATTTATTTAAAATTAAATTATTAAAACATTGCCTATAATCTAGTAATGTACTACTGTAATTACTTTCCCTAAGAACTTTGTTTATTACATTATCAATTTGTTAGATTTTTATCTATGATTACCCCTAGGTAACACTCTTTATGTTTTCATTGATGTTTATATTTAGATTTGAGTAATTGGTTTTTGCTGATTTTTTATGAGTACCTATAATCATATACTGTATATTTTTTTAATTTCCTTCAATTCCAACAGTAAGTACACTTGCCACTTACAGGATGAGAATGATGCTTTATAAACTAAGTCTCTTATGAGGCTTAGCGAGTGGAGTTGATATTAGTTGTGAGAAAAAGTCCTGCTGTGACAGGAACTGAACCCAGGACCCTGGCTATTCAACTCCACTTGTTGACATTTAAAGTTAATTTATTTTTTATTAGCAGGTTTTTAACATTTATTAGAGCTGAATTTAATTTATTTGCTATATCATGCAATGAAATTACACTAATTTAATAACCGATCTAATTAAGTATTTAAAAACAATCTCATCACTGATTCATAAACCATCAATAACAATTCAAATGATTCTTACAGTGAACTGTTAGACTGCCAAAATGATTGCCATTGAGACCACCTGAATCAACAATTGTACATTGATAGAATCCATCATCTGACAATAATGTATTTGCAATATTGAGAGTAGCTACACCAGCTTGTGAGATGTCGACACTGTGTCTGTCGTTAGGATTTGAGCCAATAGAAGAACTAACAAGCAGATCCCTTTGAGCTCCTGCAGAATTGCTGCTGTACCAATTAACACCTAATAGGGTTCTTCCACCATATATTGTGTAGAAACAGTTGATTGTGGCATCTTCCTCTAATGTAACAGAAGCATCTTGTACTGCAACATTAGGAATAGTCTGACCATTTATAACTGAAAATACACCGAATGACCATTTAATTATTAAATAAATGAAATATTAGTGGTCTATATGAATGATGTTCACTATTTTAGCTAAAGGTCTTGTTGGAGTTGATACACTATTATTAACTGTTGGCATATTAATAATAATAATAATTATTATTATTATTATTATACTCGACGTCACAGAAACTCAAACTATGACTGCTATTAATATTCAAAATATGTAGAATGATGTCATAATTTGGTAGGCACATCGTTGATATGATCTTTGCTTGGAAAAATATATTAGAACAAAAGCAAAAAAAACCCCCAAAAAACCGATGTTAGTAAGACTTGTATAGCTGCAATGGTAATAGAGAGGGTGATATGGAGACTCATAACCATTGTGCTCTATATGAGCCGACCCTGCATAGGCCAGTGTATCTTTGTTCATAGCGATTCAGTGATTAAAAGGAAACATTGTTCATGCATATCACAGTAATTTTGCATTTCACCTAGCTGCAGCTGGTTTAAACGCTTTAGAAAAACCCAAATTGCATTTGTATAATTTAATCAATTGTCCAAAAAAAAAAAATCTTTAAAAGATCCTCATATCCACACCCTACTCCTGATCGTCACCAAAATTTAATAATTTCTTCATTGTACCATGAAAAACTATTCTAAACAGTTACGGGATTTTTAGATCCATCTATAAGCGTTTTGAGATATTTAGTTCTGAGACCTTAGCAATTTTAATGGCCCTGAAATAATAATTCCTTCCTTGCAACATGGTTAAAGTTTCCAGAAAGTTTGGGGCGGGGGGGGGGGGGGCGGTACACATCTAGATGTGTATAAGAGACAGACACTGATCTGGTAATAATGAGCTTTCATAACGTTCAATTTTATTTTGTGTCACATTGTGATACACACTATTGGCAATGACCTCCATCTGAGACAATTGATAATAAAGCAGTGAAAACATGCAAATATTATGAATTTGAATTTGGGTTAATTTCCGGGAGATTCTTGCTTGCTTTCGGGAGTGCAGGAGGCCGTACAGATATCCGGGGGGCTCCATGAGTTCCGGGAGACTTGGGACCCCTTAAATTATTCATTTTTTTAGTCACAAAAAAAATATATAATGCTGAACTTTAATTTTGTACATTTTGGTTCGGCATGCTGCATTTCTGGCCATTAACAGAACTGGTCCATGGCACCCGGCTTTTGGAAAAAAACCTGGGTTATACATCCTGCTGGTTTGTTGAATAGCGAAGGGTTCTTAAATTATTTATTGCCACTGAAGCCCATGAGATGAAGTGAGTGATTGTAATGGGTTTCTTGTTTACCTTCCAATGGCTATATGTTGCTGGCAGGACTCTCTTGTTAACTCCCAATGGACTCTTAAAAAGTTAAGTTTATGGAGCTGCTAACAGCTCCCTCTGGACCATTTGACAGCTCACTCTCAACTATCAGACAGCTCACTATGGACCATTTCTGCTAACAGGGACTTATGCCTCATGGTTGGCTGTGGCCAACACAATAATTTGTGCCATAATCATTAATGTTCTTACCTCAGCCCCAACCATGGTGGGGCTGAGGTACATAAACCTCCCATCTGTGAATGTCCTTCTCTGGGCCCCTCTATTTAAAATTCCTTGATCTGCCACTGTAAACTTTTACCAATGTTATGAATCCTTTCAGCACTTTTGGATAAAAGGGAGGATATGTCAGACTTTACATATTTCTATACTTTATTTTTCATAACCTAGTGTAGGCACTCTATAATCAATTGAATTAGTCCCCTCATCTGTTAAAAGGCCGTAGCTTCCGGCAAGGGGGGACCAGGGATCTGCTCCTCGATACCCGCTAAGGCCCAGGTGGCCCCCACACCCCCAACCAATGAGCCAGGTCAGCAGAGATGCCCTGGGGCCCGCGGCCGCTCTCTGCAGCCCTGGGAAAATGAAGATGCTAAATAATGTAAAAGTCGTAGCATACATTTCTAAGTATAACTAAAAATCTAACATAAATTAAGAGTTCCATTTACTACCAAGCCAACGTTTATTAAAGTTTTCATTTCTGAATTCCAAGGTGTAACATTTGCAAACACATTAAAACAGTTCAAAACCAAGATTAAACTTATCTTTAATGAAAACCCAATGATCCAGGTAAACTAGAACCCATGGAAGCTCAGTATACATAATAACAATAATGATGATGATGAATATTAATTATCGTTATAATAATAAAAACAATTAGAGTCATTTCAATTACATATATGTAAATAGTCAAAGGCAAAACATTATGTTTATAATATACGCAGAAGCGTAATTTTCTGTTCATTTCATATTTAATATTGTACTGTCATTAAAGTAGAAGGGCGCCAGAAAAGGACATATAAAATGTTTCTTTGTTGTTCCTTGACCATTCTATGTATCAGTAACTTATTTATTTTATTTACTGGTATTTCATTTTTCATAGCGGGTTTAGATCTAATTCAAATGTTTCTTCTCAGATAACAGAAAAATCACTGATAAACTAGATTTGAACTCGTCACTTCGGACGAGTTTGGTGATCTGCTTGTCAGGCAAAAGAAATCTTGCAGCGCTTAAAAGTGAAATATGGAAAAATACTGTAGCCTGCAGGATTTTCAAACTGTGCAGGAAAATATAAATTCTGCTACCCTCTCTCGGGTCGTCAACAAAATTAAAGAAAGAAGTGGGGAGGGGTTAAAAATAAAATTCACTTTGACGTCATGAAAGTGAAAAATTATTGGAACATTGTGAAAGGAAATTGCCTCAGCTATAACATGCTCAAAGGTGGGAGACGATCCATCAAGAAAAAGCGAGATACGTTCAAATAAGTATAAAAATAATGATGTCATAAATAAAAAAATCAGTTTTTTAAAATTCAAATGCCAATATGATGACGTCGCAATGTCTGATCAGCAATAATGATCTATAAAATTATATTTACAACTCATGTGCTTTCAGAATCCTTTCAACCTACGGTATAACTGATTCAACATAGGCCTGATTTTAGCATATTTTCACTGTATATCGGCACAAACGCGCGCAAAGATCCCTATGTTTGATGCACGTACGGCACTGCTGTTGGCCATAAGATGACTGAAAAGAATGGAAATTTGTGAAAACAATGTCAGGAACCCAAAATATTAAATAAAACGTAATTTCTAGCTTCTGCACGTGCTGCACGCGTAAAAAAAATTTGAGCGCGTAGTAGAAAATGTCAAAAAAAATTTAAAATGCTCAAAATGGCCTGAAACGTGCTCTAACTTATTTAAAAAGTGATTCTGAGCATTTCGAAATTTTGACGCACGCGTGCACGCGCTAATACATGCACGCAAAATATTTTGGTACGTGATATTCAACCTTGATCTGAAGTTGATGCCTACTGAATATGATTGAGAAATGACAACTGGTTAGGATGATATGATCATAATGTAAAAACGTAAAAGTGCATGTAGATGACGCATGACTGGTCACATTGAAAAGCTTATTGTGACTATTCCAAGCCAAGCCAAATGTTCGTTGATGCTGCCATGTGCGTAGCTCATGCCAATTTTGAGATATCGTGCGCACAAAAATGGGGAGAAAGAAAGAAGAATAAAAAGAAGATGATCTCTGACAATAACAAGAGGTGATCCGCTCGTGAAGCGGATCACCAAATATTGGTATAATATGACTCACTCCCCGTGTTGTTGGTAAAATAGGGCAGACAGAATTGACCAATCAAATTTGATAAATAACTCATTCGTACAACCAGCAGTTTGATTATAAAAGGCCATAGAGAAGGTGATGGACGTCACAACTGACTTATAAAGCAGTTATAGTCAAGTCATTTTGTACACTATAGAAAATATAAGCCGAAAGCAGCCATTATTTTCTGAAAAAAATTGCTGAAATTGCTGAAGCCTGCAGGAGGCTGAAGGCAATTTTTGGAAGGCAATAATGGTTCCTAATATTAAAGTTTCTATTTCCTATAGTGTACGGAATTATTTGACTATAATTGCTTAATCTAGCACAACTTACATTTAAAATTAATACAATACATGAACAATTATTAATTTGTTTAAATTGCCATGAGTGCTACTGAGACCAACTGAGTCAGCAATTGTACATTGGTTGGTAGAATCCATCATCTGACAATAATGTATTTGCAATATTGAGAGTAGCTACACCAGCTTGTGAGATGTTGACACCGTATCTGCTGTTGGGCTTTGATCCAATAAAAGTACTAAACGAGGAGATCCCCCTGAACTCTTGCAGAGTTGCTGCTGTACCCAGTAACACCTAATAGGGTTTTACAACCAGATATTGTGTAGAAACAGTTGATGGTGGCATCTTCCACTAATGTAACAGTAGCATCTTGTACAGTGATAGTGATAAGTGATGTTAATGATAACAATAACAACAACCATAATTATAATAATAATAATAATAATAATAATAATAATAATAATAATTAATAATAATAATAATAATTTATTGAACAATTATGAACATGAACAAATTGTTATTTTGTTAAATTGCTGTTGCATTATTTATTAATTTTGAGGAATGCAATGAAATTACACTAATTTAATAACTGATCTATTAAAGTAAGAAAAACAATCATTAAAATCACTGATTCATAAACCATCAATAACAATTCAAATGATTCTTACAGTGAACTGTTAGACTGCCAAAATGATTGCCACTGAGAGTACCTGAATCAACAACTGCACATTGATAGAATCCATCATCTGACAATAATGTATTTGCAATATTGAGAGTAGCTACACCAGCTTGTGAGTCGTCTACACTGTATTTGCCGTTGGGATTTGTGCCAACAGAAGAACTAACAAGCAGATCCCCCTGAGCTGCTCCTACAGAATTGCTGCCGTACCAAGTAACAGCTAATAGGGTTCTTCCACCATATATTGTGTAGAAACAGTTGATGGTGGCATCTTCCCCTAATGTAACAGTAGCATCTTGTACAGTAACATTAGGCATACTCTGACCATTTATAACTGAAAAAGACATCGAATGACCATTTAATTATTAAATAAATGAAATATTAGTGGTCTAATGAATGATGTTCACTATTTTAATGTCTTTTTGGAGTTGATACACTATTTTTAATTGTTTTCATTATATTAATAATAATAGCAATAATAATAATAATTATAATAATAATAATAAATGAGGCCATCACTATGTTTAAGATTATGAATAACCTTGTGCCTCGTTATTTACCCAACAGATTTCTCTCTAAAAACAATTACTATAAGAACTACACCAGAATTAATATTGCCAATACCAAAAACTGACTACAAAAAGAGAAGTTTGTCATATAGAGGTGCCAAAATTTGGAATGAAATTAGCGATGATGTTAAAAATGTTAAGAAATTGTCCTAATTTAAAAAGTATATAATTGTAATATTGTGACATTGTAATAACACTTAACTGCTAACACCTTTATTTTAGTTTCTTACATAAACTACAGTATTTTTGTTTTGTTCGAGTTTGTTTAGTGTAATTAAGTTAGTTTAAGATTTAAGTCTAGTTTAGATATTTTTGTGTTTAAAGAATTGTTTGATTTGTTTAAGTCATTTTTTTTTTCTTTTGATTTTCTGGTTAAATTGTTGTATACACGGCCTGTTAGCTGAGCAAAGTTTTCTGTGTTTTAAATAAAGCTTATTATTATACTCGACGTCACAGAAACTCAAACTATGACTGCTATTAATATTCAAAATACGTAGAATGATGTTATAATTTGATATGCACATCGTTGATCAAGCACTGGAAGAGACCAAAGTGCTGGTCAAAAAAAATAAGAAAATGGGATGAAACAAGAAAAATATATTAGAACAAAAGCAACGGCTATATAAAAAAAAATTAAGTAAAAAAGGAAAAAAACAGGGAAAGTAACTCAATGTTAGTAAGACTCGAACTATAGCTGCAATGGTAGGGAGGGTGATATGGAGACATATAACCATGCACGCTATATGAACCGACCCTGCGTAGGTCAGTGCATTTTTGTTCATAGCAATTCAGTGATTGAAAGCAAACATTGTTCATGCATATCACAGTAATTTTGCATTTAACCTAGCTGCAGCTGGTTTAAACACTTTAGAAAATGCAAATTGCATTTATATAATTTAATTAACTGTCCAAAAATATCTTTAAAAGTTCCTCATATCCACACCCTATTTTGGATCGTCACCAAATTTAATAATTTTTTCATTTAGATCCATTTTTTATCTTAGCAGTTTTAATGACCCTGAAATTCACACCCAAATCTGCAGACTTGCCACAAGTCTCTAATTATTGATTTTTTGTAGTATTAGCACATTTCGGAAAGCGCCACCAGCGTCAGTTTATGTCGAGAAAATTTTTTGATGCGAATTTTTTAACTAATTCAAGAAAAAGTATACTATACTTGCCAAGCAAATAGGTAATATGGAACGCCATTGGTGCCAAAATCAATTTTTCCAGCTTTTTTAATCATTAAGACAAAGTTTAGGACTAGAACCCAGTCTACCAAATCTGGATCGTCACTAAGATTTAATAATTCCACATAATGTATTTGCAATAGGGACTTTTAGATTTGCACGTCGACATAGTGGACTGCTACGTGATGAGGTCATTTTAAGGCACTGCGCATGCGTTATGTCGTCTCCCTCGTCCACTACCAAAATCGAGAACGTGTTCACCTCATTTTTCCCGTCGTCCTAAATCTAGGATGCCGTGCTCGCTTGTGAAGTTTAAAGATGGAAGATGAAAATATAGTGGCAACGCTGCCTTCACTAGTTCGTCCAACTGAGGCAGAGACAGAGTCTGGGGGAAGTTTCTAACTTGTGTTGAATTAATCTGTATTATTTGCTTTTTAATGCACAGGCAGTTATGAAATTTCTACTGCCTTCGTAAACACAAAAAAGGCTGTGGAAGTTCATGAGCGTGCTTACGCCAGTGTGCAAGCACTGCAAACTTGCACCGCAGCGAGCGCAGCCGGCCGGGGAGGCCTGTTAACTATCTGCATCATCGCAGTTGACGCACCGGATGCGCCCTGAAGTATGCATTACATTCATCATTGTTGTACTTGTCTAGATATCCTGTCTCTTATACACATCTTTTTGGTAAAAGAGTAAAATGTAGGGCTGTCAGTTCCTATTGTTTCTTCATTTCTGCAATAAATAAAATATTATTTGCAATATTTCTCTTTTAAGCAAAGACCTTTTACATACCTCCATATTTTAATATTGGTATTTA